TAATAGACACCAAGAAGGTATTTGATAAAATTGCATACCTAGTTTTTACTTTAAAAAAAAGGAACCTTACAAACTAGCAATAAAGGAATTTTTTGACAGAAATATCCACACGTGTACTCAAAGATACTTAAACATAAATAAAAGGCAAATGACTTGAAAGAAATAGGCAAAATGAATATCATTTGAAGACAGAATAATCTAGAAAATTCAGGAAAATAAGCTACAAAATCATTATTTTTCCTACAAAGTAACCAAGAAGAGTTGTAATATATAATAGAAGTTCCGCTCACAGTAACCCCCTCTGTTAGTTTCCTAGCCTGATCCAACAAAATCCCATAGACTAGTTGGCTTACACAACAGAAATTTATTTCTCACAGTCCTGGAGGCTGAAAGTCCAAATTCAAGGAGTCAGCAGGTTTGGTTTCTACTGAGGCCTGGCTCCTTGGCTTGCAGGTGGCCTCTCTGTGTCCTCACATGGTCTTTTCCAGGGATACCCCTGGTATTCCTTTGTATGTAGTAATCTCAATCTCTCTTTTTTTAAAAAAAAGCAAACTTCCAATATTCTATACATCATTTGGACTTGTCTGGAGTCTTGGAAACTTGACTACCCTACATTCTAACAATGGACCTTGAGAGCTTGTTTGGGGGTTCTAGCAGAGGAGTGCAGCTACTTGTATACCCTTGCCTGAAGAACAGTCCTTCCCTGTATCAGGGAAGGTCATCTTCTTCCATCAAGCATGTAGCTTCAGGGGGGGACGCAGGAACATGGAGCAGTAAGGGAGGAAGGGGACACCTCCCTAGCCAGCCAGATCAGCCAAATCAACCCTGCCGATCAATGGAGTGACAAATGTCACAGCCAGATTGCCCATGTATCCCTAATCTTCTCCTTTTATAAGGACACCTGTCAGATTGTTTTAGGGCCCACTGTAACAACCTCATTTTAATCACTTAAAGTCAGATCTCAAAATATAGTCACATTCTGAGATACTGGGAGTTAGGATTTCAACATATGAATGAGGAGAGTGCACAGTTCAGCCCACACCTCCAGCAAATATACAATACTTAAATATAACCCTAAGAAGATCTATGAACAACCCAAAGGAAGGCATCCATATCATGAAAATATACAGAAATACATAAAGAATGGATAAATGGTGTGGGGGGGGATGGATAAATGGGTACATACCATGTCTTAGTTGGAAAGTCTCTGTATTATAAAGTGCCAATTTATCCTCGATTTAATTAAACTAAAAGGTAACACAATTGTAAGCAAAAGCCCAACAAGATCTTTACATCTCTCTTCCTTTTTCATTTTTCTTCCATATTTGTTATATTACCTTCAACAGTATATTCTTTATTTCTAATGGGTGTGCCACCATCAGCTGGATTCATTGTCTTCCACCCCAAACTCACCTTCCCCACTGCCCTCTGCCTAGCAATGGGAGGTCATCACCCTATCAGTCACCTAGGAGAAAATCTCTGGCTTATTTGGGAAAATTCTTTTTAGTTCACCTATAAACAATCAATCAGTCACGTGCAGCCATTTTTGTTAAAGTTAAACCCATTCCTCCCATTCCATTCCTAATTGCCCTCCTTACCTCACATTTGGATTTTAACTCTGCACATCACCATCACCTAGATTAATCTTTCTAAAATATGATTTTTTTCATCATTCTCTTCCAATTTACAAATACCCAGTTTAATAACTCTACTGGGCAACCTTGGGCACGTTAATCACTGTGCTTCAGTTTGCTCATCTGTAAAATGGGGATAATAGTACCTACCTCATAGAGTTTTCATGAAAATTAAATGTCACAAAGTATTAATCTGTAGGGCACTTAGAACAGTTAGCACTTTCTACATATTTGCTTAGTAAATATCTTCCCCATTGTTTTACCTGCCACTTAAAAGTGCTCACTTTGGGACACCTGGGGGGCTCAGTGGTTGAGTGTCTGCCTTTGGCTTACATCGTGGTCCTGGGGTTCTGGGATCAAGTCCCGCATCAGGCTCCCTGCAGGGAGCCTGCTTCTCCCTCTACCTATATTTCTGCCTTTCTCTCTATGTCTTTCATGAATAATTAGTCTTTTAAAAAATAAAAGTTTAAAAAAAAAAAAGAGGGAACACTTAGAACAAAGTCTGATGTAAAAAGGAAAGTTGTAGGGCAGCCTAGGTGGCTCAGCAGTTAAGCGCCACCTTCAGCCCAGGGTGTGATCCTGGAGACCCAGGATCGAGTCCCACATCGGGCTCCCTGCATGGAGCCTGCTTCTCCCTCTGCCTGTGTCTCTGCCTCTCTGTCTTTCATGAATGAATAAATAAATAAAACCTTGAATAAAAATAAAAGGGCTCACTGAGGAAAACTCATTCCTGAGGGGCTAGACACTGTATGCCCTTTCCAAATGGTTATTTTCAGAAATCCTTGACAAATAGGTTATCAGTGACCATAGGTGTTCCTTACAGCAGTATATTTAATAGAAAAATATTGAAGTATGTCTTTAGAAAAAATATTTAATAAAAGATGGTGAAGTCATAAGTCATACTATGGAAAACTGTGGAGAGAGACAAAGATAAATTTGTAAATAAAAGTCGTATTTGCTATGGAGGGATGGCCGTAATACACTGAGTGAAAAAAAAAAAAAGTCAGCTGATGAGTAAGAGGCGCAATATGCTCTTGTAAACATTTGTTTCCAGATGACTAGGATGCACATGAAGCTGTACGCAGAGGACAGAGGTTTCTGTTATGAAACGAGGCTGTATGACCTTCCTACAGTGAACAGGTTTCACTTTTATAATTAAGGCTAAGCAAAAAGAAATAATGAAAAGGAAACTAAAAACCGTTTAAAATCTCATCTCTAGACCTTTTGCCTTTGATTATTGTTTTTTTTTTATGTGAACTGCATGAAAATACTGGTGATTTTGAGGTTGATGAGAGGTCAGATTGCCAGGATTTGCTTCAAAACCTCTATCCCACTAAAAGGTGGCTGTAAACGCCTTGCAGATGAACCTCAAATGCTAGTCTTTATTTTTTGCCCTAGCGTCATCAAATAGTGATGCTTCATCCTGAAAGTCAGGCAAAGATTTTATCTAATTACCTGGGAAATTCAAAGGAGAGGAGACGCAAAACCTTCTAAGTGAAGCATTGATGAGGGTTGGGGGACCAGCTACCCTCTTCAACAACAACAACAACAACAAAAATCTCAAGACTTTCAGAGGTAGAAAATCCTCATGTAGAATTTTCTCATCTTCTTGATAATCACTTCCAGCACCAAGAGAAAATTCAGAGTTGTAGATTAAGTCGGGCACACCTGAAAAACGCCTTTTTCCATAGATGTTCTTCAGGATTTCCTCCATGCCGAGACTCAAAAGAGTTTGGGGTTCGTAAATAAAAGGTGGCCCTGTGTAAGGCGTGACAGCAAGTAAGCAATCTCAAAGAAACTAATGACACGGTAGGGTCTTAACTACTTAGGCACCTGCTTTGCCTAGAAAAACAGTCCGTTTTCATTTGTCATCCCCGGGCCTCAAAAGCTAGGCCTTAGCCACCACCTGGTGACGCCGATGACGCGCGAGGTCTCACAGCTGCCGCAATTAGAAAGGCTGAGCCTGCTCCTTTAAGAAGCTGACTCACGTGGATGCTGTGTTGTGTGCGCTCAGCTGGGGAGGAGGTGGATCCTAAGTCTCTCCGCATTGGCCGCCTCGGGAGAAGGGGCAGAGTTGGCCTCGCCGATTGGCTGCGCGAGTACGAGGCGTCGAGTCAGGGGCGGGGCGAGCGCGGGAGCCCGCCCGGGGTCTGCGGCCGCTGGGAGGGGTGGGCGGCTACGCGGGGGGGAGAGGGCGCGGGGGGAGGGTGCGGCAGGGAAGGGGCGGGGCCCGGCGGAAGGGGCCGGGTGCCGCGGCCGGGGGCGGGGCCTGGAAGTGAAGGGCGTCCTGGGCCAACCGGGAGAGCCGACGGCTCGGGGGGGCGGGGCCGCGCCGAGTGATTGACGCTGAGGCCCAACCGGGGAGAGGCGGGGCCAAGGCCGGGGCCTGACTAAACCCGGAGACTCGGGCGGCTGAGGGGCTTCATCCCGGCTGAGGAGCTACAGCCGCTGGCGGCCGCGGGTCTCACAGCCGCTCTGGGTGAGTGCGGCGGGCGCGGGAGGGCCGAGCTCGGAGCCTGGGGGCGCCGGGGAGCCCTCCGGGGCCGACGGCTTCGGGGCGCTCCGGGATCGGCCCGGGGCGCCGAGGGCGGGGGGCCCAGGCAGGAAGTGCCTCCTCTTCGCCGCGCTGCCCCCGGGGTCCCCGCGCGGCCGCCCCGGGGGGGGCCAGGGCGTCGGGGCTGCGGCCGCCAGGCGGGTCGGTTTCCTCTTTGTGAGGCCCAGGCGCGGCGGCCGCCGTCGGCCCGCCCCCGCCGCGCAGCCGGGGCGACCCCTCGCGACCCCTCAGCCCGGCGGCCGCGCCCCCGCCCCGCACCCCGGGAGGCCCTTCCGCGGGCAGTTGGGCCGGCGGCGCCCCCCGCCCCGCGCCCCGGCTCCGGCCGCGGCCGCCCCGCCCCCACGGGCCGCGTCCCCGCCGCCGTGTCGGGGGCGCGCCGGGGTTGGGCCCGGGGTTGGGCGCCGCCGCCGCCTCACCGCGGCCTCGCCGCGCCCTCGCCGCGCCCCCGGCCGGGCGTCGAGGCCGAGCTCCGGGGCCGCGGTCCCGCCGCGGCGCGCCCCGTCCTCTCAGGGTCACCGCCGCGGGCCGCGGGCCGCCGGCTTTGTGTCTGCCGCGCCGGGTGACCGCCGGCCGCCCGGGCCCCAGGGGCGGGCGCGGGGCCCCGCCGGCGCGGCGGAGGGTGGGGCGCGCCTGCTGGGCCGCCCCCGGGCGCGCCGGGACCCCGCGCCGCCGCCCGCTCAGCTGTTTCCGGCCCGAGCCTGTGGTGCGGGAGGAGGCCGCGCGGCGCTCGGCCCGGCCCCTCCCGATTGGCCCGCGGCGTCACGTGCCCGCAATCAGCTGGGGCCAGCTGGGGCGGCTCGGGCGGCCTCGCCGGGCGGGGTGGGCGTGCGCCCGCCCGCACCCCCTTGACGCTGCCCGCCGTCCGGGTAGCCGCGCCGCGCACTGCGGACTGGGAGCCGCTCGGGAGCCGCGAAGATCTGTTGAGTCCTGACGCCTAGTAACCTCCCCCTCCGAGGGAGAGCCCGGGAAGGTGGAAAAGCTCATGTATTTTTGAACTTTTCTTTTTTTTTTTTTTTTTTTTCTGTTTGCAGAGCCCTGTCGGTAATCTGAGGATTTTTATTCCAGGTCTCCTTGACAGATGGAAAACCTGAAGCGACCTCAGGCTAGCTAACCTCCTTCTGTTTTTGGAAAACTAGACTTGCTGGTGAAGTCACTGAGGGGGGGGGGGTGTAATAGGATATTAGCTCACTTGGTCGTGGCCGTGTATACGGTGTTGCCGCGGCGTTCCGACGCAGCCGAACCAAAATACACACCAAGTGCTCCCCAGGGTAAATATTTCTGCCAGATGTGAAGCGACCTGGTGGATTCTTTTCCTTAAACTTTATTGCGTTATTTGTGCTGTGATAGATAAGAAGCCTGTAGCTTAGTGAAAAGTCCTAGGCAAATGAAGTCGAGTAACAGTGCGAACTTAATGGTTAGTAAAGTAGGGAATGAGTGTCGCCGGAGTTGAAAAATAGGGCAGTGAAGAAGAAATAGGTAACTGTGAAGTGGATCGGGATTGCCCAGACCTACAAAATGGGAGAGCTTTTGGGCAGACAAGCCTAGGAGGAAAAACCGGCCTGGAGCATTTACAAAATAGAAGGTGTATTTTGGCACACAATGTATGTTTCCGCTTTTATCTGTCATCTTTCTGGGTATGTACTGGAACACCAGGTAGAACGTGCCTCCTTGGAAAGGACTGATGCCTAACTTTATCATGCCCTCACCCAGCTCAGTGCCCAACAATACAGGCCTACTGGTTGATTTTCTTTTTAAGTCGATCACTAGCAACTATCTTACCTATAGGAGAGGGAGATAATAAAATGTGCTCAAGTAAATTATTTAACTCTGTACAGGGGAACTTAGGAAATCAGATTTTGAGAAAACAGTTTTTCTAAAAAGGTTAGTAAGATGTGACTTTTAAAAATAATATCTGGTTGGGTCATCAAGGACTTTTCTCTGGACTTCATTTGCCTTTTGCTCTACTTAAGTGGTAGGAGAGAGAAAAAGGGTTAGAAACCATTAAAAGGGAAGGGAAATAAAGCCAAAATTAAGTCTAAAAAGAAGATATTAAATTAGACACTACCCTCCAACATAGTCCTAACATAGCCCTAAATTATGTGCATGAGATGTGAAAGCTAGTTCTAAATATATTCATGGATGTGAAGATAGTCCTAAGTACATTTGTGCCCAAAATACCATTTTAGGTTTTGGAGAGCCTAAATGGCTATATAAATCATTATCCATTTTTCTGGTAATCCGGTGTGCTAATACCTGGGTAATGCAGAAACTGAACCTTAGCTATGACATGAACTTCACCTGAATTAGGAAACCAGACGGTTAATATTTACTCCAGTCCACCCAGTAAGGTTTTTTTGACTCATGGTATTTCATCATAACAAATGACAGATCTCGAATTTGTCTTGCCAATGGGTGTTTGGGGGAGATTACCAACTCGGATTGTTTAGCTGACTCACTGAGTTACATGATTACTCTTATTTTCTAGTGATGACTAAACAATAAGTATTATAGAAATAATAGTAAACCTGGAAAGCATTCAGCAACAACAAAGGCAATTATTTGAAGAACCAAAACAAAAATATAGAAGCCACTGCCCATTGAAGACCTGATTCCACAACCAGAACATCATTTGATACAGCAAAGGAAACTAGTCGGGTATTGCAAGAGAATTAACAAGAGGAAAAGAGAGCTTTGTCTTGTCACTGAAACCTTGGCGTGGTAAATATTTTGTACAAAAATTGGCAAATTGGTTTTATGGATTGAACTCAATTTATTTTCTCCCTTGTAGGTTTTCAAGAGTTTAGTCACAAGTCAGTATGAAAATAGTTGATGAGAGAATAATGGCATTAAATGTTAATTATAGTAATCAACCCAGCACGATTAAAAGTCTTTAGGTTTTATGACTTCCTTTGTCTTGGAGAGAGGAGAGACTGAAAAACAGATAAACAAACATGCTTCAGCATGTTTTCATTTTACCAGAACCATTACAAAACACAGTCTTCTCTGGAAGGGCAGATTTCTTGAACCCTTTCTGCCCTAGGCCTCGGCACGTTCAGTTCTCTGCTGTAGAGCGTCTTTGTGGGTTACATCTGCCAACCACCTCCTGGCATCAGAAAAGCCCTGCTCGCTTGTCCAGCAATAGGTAGTGAACCAGTATTATCTGTTCTGTGGAAGTGCCCTGAGGAAACAATTGCTTTACAGAGGAAAAGTCTGTGAACAGGCGTTTTTCTCATCAGTGGATCCTTAGAGATGCAAATCAATACCTGCTATTCTCCCTGGTATTTTTAGGGCTGGACTGTGTGATGGTTTCTTTGGCCAATTCTACTTGCCAGGGTTGGATCCCAACTGGATTGTTAATTACAGGAAGGGCTAGAACTATGACACTGAGAATCTGAGATGCTTCAGAAGGTTTCTAACTTTTGCTTGTTATTTCTGTCACCTCATTGCTTAGCTTTGCAGTAATTAACAGGAGGTGAAGTGGGTTAATTGTTTGTTTCATATTTTTTGTTTTCTTTAATAGGATGGGGAAGTTAAGATGGGGAACGTGGAAGAAGGAAATCTACTTTTATTGCATTTGTTTAATATTTGTGGTGTGCCAGGCACTATTCTCATAATGGATTATCTGCATTGAATTCTTACAACTCAGAGATGGATATTGTTGAAGAAGCAGAGGATACCTTATCCAGAGTTTACACAGCTTTAAAGGGCCAGAGCTGAGATTTGAACCCAGGCTGTCTGACTCCAGAATTCAAATATTTGGGCCACATTGTTTAAATCCTGGGGATAGGGAGAGAAGGAGGCAGCAGCTTGGTATATATTATTGATTTTTGTAATCTTTTTAGAGCTGATCTGATTATAGAAAGTTAAAGATTTTAGCTAGAAAAACCTGTGAAGAAAAGGGGAGCAGGATTAAATTGATCCTCTGCAAAATACTCCTGTTAATCCTTAAACCTGAGTGCCAACTAAGTTTACTTTTTTACTGAGAAAGACTGTCTACTTCCCCCCCCCCCCAAAGATTTTCTTTATTCATGAGAGAGGCAGAGAGATAGGCAGAGGGAGAAGCAGGTTCCCTGCAGGAAGCCCGATGCAGGACTTGATCCCAGGACCTTGGGATCAGGCCCTGAGCCAGAGGCAGAAGCTCAACCACTGAGCCACCTAGGTGTCCCGACTGTCTACTTTCTAAGTGAAAAGCCCTTTTCACTATCTGAGAGATTTTTTTTTTTTTTAAGATTTTAATTTATTTATTCACAAGAGACGGGGGGGGGGGGGGGGGGACAGAGAGGCAGAGACACAAGCAGAGGGAGAAGTAGGCTGCAGGGAGCCAGATGCAGGCTTGATCCTGGATTCCAGGATCACGCCCTGAGCCTAAGGCAGATGCTCAACCACTGAGCCACCCAGGCATCCTTCAGAGATTTTTTTTTTTTTTTTCTTCTTCAGAGAGTTTTTAACAGGGGTCAGCATACTGTCAGAGGCCAGATAGTGAATTTTGTGAATTTAACAAGCCATAAGATTTCAGCCACAACTATTCAAACTCTGCCATGGCAGTGAGAGAGCTGTCCAGTATAAACAAATGGGTGTGGTTATGTCCCAATAAAACTTTATCAATGGACACTGAAATTTGAATTTCACGTAGTTCTTATGTGTTACTAATAATCTTTTGATGTCTTTTTTCCTACCATTTAAAGGCATAAAAACCATTCTTAGCTTGTGGGTCATACAAAAATCAGTGGTGAGCTGAATTTTGTCCACAGGCCTTAGTTGGCTGACCCCTCCTTTTAAGGAAAATATATAGCAATGAACCAAAGAACAAGGTACCTTATTTGTCATTGATTGTGTGTGTGTGTGTGTGTACATGTATGTCTATGTGATATGTATATGTGTTTGCATATATATTAGCTGTGAACAAGTAGAATTTGAAATTAAAAACAATAGTGTCTAGCATCCCCCAAAAATGAAATACTTAGGTATAAGTCTGACAATGTTACAAGATCTATATGAAGAAAATAAACTCTGAATGAAATCAAGAATGAAATGTAGTCTTCATGTTCATGGGTAGGCATTGTCGAGATACCAGTTCTTCCCAGCTTTAGATTAAGTGCAGCACCAATCAAAATCCCAATAAGTTACTCTATGAATATCAACAAGCTGATTCTAAAGTTTCTATAGAGAGGTGAAAGAATAGCCAATACAATATTGAAGGAGAAAAATAAAGTCAGAAGACTGACCACCTGACTTTAAGACTTAATATAAAGGTTCAGTAATCAAGGCAATATGATATTGACCAAAGAATAGACAAATAGATCAGTGGAACAGAATAGAGAACTCAGAAATAGATCCACATAATTATCAGCTGATATTTGACAGAGGTGCAAAGGCAATACAGTAGAACTGAAATAGTATTTTCAATAAGCGGTGCTAAAACAACTGGACCTCCACATCAAGAAAAATCTAGACACAGACCTTATACCTCATTCACAAAAATTAACTCAAAATCACAGACCTACCTGTAAAATGCAAAATTATAAAACTCCTAGAAAATAACATAGGAAAAAATCTAGATGACATTGTATATGGCAGTGACTTTCTAAATACAACACCAAAGGCATGACCCGTGAAAGAGAGAATTGGTAAGATGGACTTCATTGAAATTAAAAACCTCTGTGCAAAAGACATCAGGAAACTGAGAAAATAAGCCACAGGTTAAGAGAAAATATTTGCAAAGCCATCTGATAAACTTCTTATCCATTATATCCAAAGAACTCTTAAAAACGCAACATAATGGCAAATAGCATATGATAAGATGCTCCATATCAGATGTTCCATATCGGATGCCATTACGGAAATGTAAACTAAAACAATGAGATACCACTGCACACCCACCTATTGAAATGGCCAAAATCCTGAATACTGACAGCACCAAATGCTCAAGATGATGTAGAGTAACGGGAACTTTCATTCCTTATTGGTGAGAATGTAAATTGCTACAGCCACTTTGGAAGATGTAGTAGTTTCTTAAAAAACCAAACCTAAAAAAAAAAAAACAAACCAACCAACCTAGCTTATGATCCAGTAATGTACTCCTTGGTATTTACCCAGAGGAACTGAAAACTTATACCCATGCAAAAACCTGTCTTTTATGAATTTCTGAAAGAAAAATCTTGTTTTTATACTGTAAACCTAAACTTAAAAAAAAAGTTAAATCTCAATTAAAATGTAGTCCACATTGTCTGATTTTTTAAATAGTTGACCTAGAACACAGGTTTGAACTGCATGGGTCAGCTTATACGTGAATTTTTTCGATAAATCTAGTACTGTGGATGTGTTTATTCATAAAGTTTTCTGTTCTAGCTTTATTGTAAGAATACTGTAATGCATTCAACATACAAAAGGTGTTATTTGACATATATTTTGTCAGTATGTCACTCGGGTCAACCATAGGCTATTAAGTTTTGGGGGAGTCAGTGGTTATATGCAGATTTTTGACTGCAAGGTTGGGGGCGTGGTTGGCATCCCTAACCTCACCTCCCACATTGTTCGAGCATCATCTGAAATACATTCCTGGAGATACTGTATTTCATGGATTATTCAAAGCAAAACTTTTTCCCTCTTACATATTCTGTAAATCCTGTAAATTTTTAAAAGATTGTATTAAAAGGTAGATGTTCAAAAATGTGATTGCTTCACCAGAGTCTCCTATTAAAATAGAAATTTAAAGTTCTAGGTAGCTAAGTGTACTATTGAAGGGGAAGGAAACTGAAACAATTACTAAAATGGGATCTTTAGGTCATCTGTGAATTCACTTATATTTTTAACTTTAGCCCTTCAGTTTCCATTAATTTCAGATAAACTGGTAATAGGCTCCTAGTAAACAACCACGTTTGGTATTTATTTGAAGCTTTTAAGGATTTTAATAATCTGGAACCAAGAAAAGTTAGTATGAAAGAGGCCTTATTTATAAAACCTGGGAAATGATATTTACTAGAATTAAGATTATTAAATGACTGGGATTTGCTTGAAATGTTAAAAAGGAAGAAAGCATCTTAAAGCTTTAGCTATAATGAGTTTAGCCCTAGTTTTGGTTAGAAACTTGAACATCAGCACTGACAGATCCCAAAGCATTCATTTTATTACTGAGAGACACAGTAAGGTACCCCTAGGAACCACAGAGAGCATTAGTCATCTGTAAAGGCAGCTCAGTTTTAAGGTGTTTTTAAAATATGTGACTGAAGAGATCTGGATGTCTACTAAGTCTAACATATCTGGGAAATATTTTGGATCTAAAAACAAAAATAGAAAATAGATCGCTGGTTGCCTGTGACTGTAGAGGGCTTTGTGGGAATTTGGGGGAGGTGATAGAAATATTCTAAAGCTGGATTCTGGTGATATAAAGTGGCACAACCTTATAAAATCTAAAAATTATTCAACCGTATACTTACAGTAGCTAAACTTTATGGTATATAAATTATTCCTTTAAAAAGTCTGGGGACTTTTTTGTTAAAAGAATGAGCTATACTCTGGCAGAAAAAAAGTTTCAAAGTTTGTAGAGGAGTGGTCTTAGAGAGCTCTTAGAGATGGTGGGGTGCCTGGGTGGCTCAATCGGTTTGGGCTCAAGTGTGTTCTCAGTTGTGAGATCAAGCCCTGAGTCGGTTCCATGCTAGGCATGGAGACTGCTTGGGATTCTCCCTCTGCCCCTCCCTCTCCTTCTCTCTTTCTCCCTCTCTTTAAAAAAAAAAAAAAGAAAAAGCACATGCCTTTGACCTTATCTTTATAGCGCTATTCAGTTTAACACAAAAGTAGGGACACCTTGTGAATGTGCGTTGCATTTAATACACATTCTCTGCCCACAAGAGGTTTATCTGGAAGGGATGAGGATTTGAATTAAGACATTGACAGGGAAGGAGGAAAGACCTCTGAGAATGGATTTAGGAAGTATTGTTAGTTTTGCAATTTCTGTGAGAGGTTGCCAAGTTTTACTAGTTTAGGAGACTGTGTAATTCGAACTGGCCACCAACCAGGAAAGGAAATATAGGAAGGAACAGCATAGAGGCAGAAAGGGTACATGATAAATCTGAGGGAGAAAGACCATGAATCTAGTAACCCTGTAGTCACTATAGAATGAGTAGAGGGAAAAGAACTGGAGCAAGGTTTTATTCAGGCCCCGTCACATAGACTTTATTTCTTCCTCTACAAAAGTAGGGTGACCCTTGAAAAACTGTCGAGATTAAATGTGGTATATGAAGTACCAAATGCAGTGTCCCATACAGTGTAGACACTAAATAATTACTAGGTCTAAGGCAGAGTTTAGTATATCCTCCAGATCCAAAGAAACCTGATTCAGAAGCTTAGCTTTTTAATGACCTTCCTCCTTAAATAATAAAGTGGCATTCTGATTGATATCAGCCTCTTGAGAATTTGGATAGTGTGAGTCAGTAGTAGGTTGAGTTTCTAGCCCTGCAAAACTAAGGCTTAACACCTAGAACCCAATGACCTTGCAGAGATTTTTCCACTTCCTAAAGACTAGACCTCTGACAGAAAGGGATGTTTTGCTTGCTTTTTCTAGATTCCATGGTATTCTAGCCTATCTTTTTTGGCAAATAACTAATTTTACAGTTTTATATACATATATAGTACTCTATAAATGGAAACCACAACTAGGAATAGTGATTCTGCACAGATATTTTTGGTCTTGGTAATGAGTCATATAATTGAATCCAGTAAAAATACTTGGGTAAAAGTAAAAAATAGACTGAATTTGAGGCGAGGAAGAGAAAGCATATTAAATCTGTTTACCCCATTTAGGAATAAAGAGCTTACTTGTATCCAGTAGCAAATGGTCACAGCTATATTGTAATTTTGAGTCAAAGATAGAATGATGCAGGCAGAGGGTACAGGGAGAGTTCATTTTGAAGTCCAGTAGTACGTTTTCCACAGCAGCATTGTCTGCCGTGGCCAGTTCAAAGACCTCTAGTTATTCCTGCATTATGGTTGAAGTTATGATACAAACTTTTTGAAGGAAAATTGGTTTTAAAGTAATGAGTCCCAGAAGCCCAAGCAGGAGGCTGAATCACTGCACTTTCCTGGTTTTCAGAGAAATACAGAATCTGAGGACTGCATCTTGAGAGGTGAGACTGTAAAACCTTGCTGTTGATTACTTTCTGTAGTTGAGGAGCAGTAAGAAACATGACCCAGATCACCTGTTTACAGGTGTTGTATGCTGTGGTTATATGAAGAGTCATAAACTCAAGTGTCTTACAAGGTGGAAGATAATTATGTGATGCAGAGTGTGGTGACTGAGCAGACCCAGTGTGACCTTGGCGGAGTCCTAGCTACCACTCTCCTCCAGGCATTGTTGCCATATGAGAACACGTGACCCATGGGCCAAATCTCCCCATTGTTTAAAAAAAAAAAAAGGCTTTTCAATGAATTCTCTCATGTTTAATGGTGGCCCACATGTTTTTTATTGATAAAAAACCACGGGCCAAATTCTATGTTTTGTAACAGAAGAGTGGTTTTGTTGATTGCTGTCTCCCTGTGCCACCAAATGAGTTCAGCCTGCAGGCCTAAAATTTGCAATCTCTGACCTTTAACAAATACTGTGCTCTTAAGTATCTGAAAAACCGGAATGCTATCATTTTAAAGTCTGGGAAACAATTAGAACTCTTAACCTTTTGTCATTTTGCAGAAATGTAATCAAAAAGCTAAATATCATTTCTTAAGTCTTGTTTTCACCCAGGTTTTATTCATTGACATGTTTGTTAACGTGCAGTGGTTTTCCTTTCAGTAGCCGCAAATTTTAATTGTATTTACCATTTGTTTTTCATTCTCATTGAACTTCCATATTGGAATGTTTAATGAAAGTCATAATGATCTTTGTTATAATGACTTTTCTGGTATTAGAACTGCCTAACAACTTATTAGAACTGCCTAACAACTAAGTTCACAGATGTACGAAGGAATGATGAAATTTCCTTTTTAATTTGTAATGAAATTTTCCCAAATTTAAAATGACAGTGGATTCTTATTACAGACATAGATTGTAGGGTTTTTTTTTTTCATAGTGGCAGCTATATCAGCTCTGCATGCCGTTTTAAGGATATGTGATATAAATATTTGAAACTCAGGGCTAATACTATACCAGGAATAAATTTTTTTTTAATGAGAACTATAGTATATTCTTGACTATATCTACATCTTTAAAAAATAGTGTTTAAGAGGATTAACTGCTGTGAATTCTAGGAGTTGCACATATTAACTCTTTTGAAATACTGAAGTGATTATCCTTGTTTCAGAATTTGGTTTCAAAGCTTCTTTTTTCAGTGTTTCAGCACTCCCATGATTTATTAAATCAGTATGATCTCTGAAATATAAGTTATATAATAATGGCTTATCTTTCCCTTTTCTGTGCTTGTTTTCCTAGTCTTATATCAGGGTAATGGGAGAATTTGGGCTTTCGGGTGGGTAAACTGCATTCCAGTCATGATTGTACTTGAAAGCGGTGTGACCTTTGATCAGTTAATAACTTTGGATAATTTATGAAATGTGGGTGATAACCTCACCGAGTTGTGACAGTTTTGAAGTGAGAAAGGCACCGAGTTCAGTGCTCCACAGACTCCAACTTAACTGAAGTTAGTACCAATGCCCCTAAGTGGTTGGGAGTGTACCTGATGACCAGAGCTGTGTGCTCCTAACCACAACTACCCTCTTCTTCTTTTCTGATTGCCCCTTTTTCTACTCTTGTGATCATACCACGCATGCCCCACAAGTCTTTCCTCAAATTAATATGCTCAGAATGTATACTTAACACTTTGGTGAAGCCTTTTTTTCTCCCATCTCTGCCTGTGCTTCTCATTATTTGGTTTCTGATTCTGTATTTTCTTCCTGCGTTTTTCACACCAACCAAAAGAGAAGTGATATTGTTCTGGCCTTGCCTAAACATGTTTGCTTCCTTGGCTCACTGCTTCTAAACAGCTCTTAGCTTGATATGCCTGTTTATTTGTTCAGTACATGAACCTTGGATCCTTTAGTATAGAGTGAGCTACTTCCTAAACGGAGTCCCAAAGCTGAAATCGCATATATTTTGTTTATATATATATATAGTTGTCTATTACCCCCACCAAGTAAATATCAACAATTTTTTTCTTAATCATAATGTTTTCTTGTCCTTTTCTGTTTGCTTCTAGGTTTTTAGAACTTCAGCTAAAAAAATGGGCAGAATTTTCCTTGATCATATCGGTGGTACCCGTCTGTTTTCTTGTGCAAACTGTGACACAATCCTGACCAACCGCTCAGAACTCATCTCTACTCGGTTCACCGGCGCCACTGGCAGAGCATTTCTTTTTAACAAGGTTGGTGTTGGTGGGAAAACCAGTTGCATTTCCCTAGTGGGTTCAGTGGATACGTTTGACAGCAGTACCAGAATATCCCTCAGAGCTTGAAGATACCAGAAAGAGTCAGAAGGAGAGCTACAATCTGCACGTAGAAATGGGATCTCAGGAAGACATTACTAGAATGTGATTTTTCTCTTTTTTATTTCTTTTTCTTTTTTTTTTTTTTTTTTTACTGTGGAAGTTTAAAGACTGTGTTACAATAAGTAGGGTAGTCTCTATTGCTTCAGAACATTTAGAATAATTTAGTAGTGACTTCACAGACTATGGAAGGAGGGGCAGAAATACCCCTCTTCCCATATCACTGATTTATCCTTTTAGGGAGATAGCTGCATTAAGCTTTCATAGCTTGACAGTGCAAGTGAATAAAGATCATCTAACCAACTTCCCTTGCTCTAATTTATGTTCACCAATCATCCTGATTATGTTGTGGTTTATTGCATGCCAACAGGAAAAGTGTTTCCTGATTTACAAATTAATGACTAGTCTGCCTGCCTCTCTAATTTCTGGCTTGCTTTTAAAATTGGTTGATGTGATTCTGCCTCCTGGAGTCTAATGTGTACTAGTAGAGTTGAATTTCCCAATCTTTTAGGCTGAGAGACAACTAGTCTAGGATACTGCTCTTAAAAGTTCAGCTAAACTTCCCCAGTGGACCACCCCTTTTTTCCATTTAGAAATCAGCTTGTCTCTCAAAGAATTGATAGTGTATACTTATTGATCTTTCTTTACGAATAGAGCAGGAATTGGTACACTATGGCAGGCCAGCTACCCTTTGTTGTAAATGAAGTTTAATAAAGCACAGCATGCTCATTCATTTATGTATTGCCTATGACTGCTTTTGTGCTACAATATTAGAGCTAAATATAATTAGTTAAAGATTATATAGCCCTCGAAGCCAGAAATACTATATGGCCCTTTACGGAAATGTAAAGCTTAGAGGATCGTTGGACATTCAGAACCATTGGAAATTTTTCACAGATTATTTGACCTCAGTTGAAAACTATATATCAAAAAAAAAAAAAACTGTATATCACAATTTAGTAGGCCTAGTGTGACCTAGCTGGTTTATATATAAAATATATTTCCAGAAACAAATTTGGCAAACTTTTTTTTTTGTGGAATACCTATTGTATACCAGGTTCTCTTTCATTGGTAGCCTTATTTGAACTCCTCATTTAATGGTGAATAACAGTTGGACCCAAATCAACATTTTATGGTGCCAGGTTGAGGACTCTTCACTGCAACAGAAATGTAACTAGTGTGTGTAAAGAGTGTGGCTTGGACCAGTACATGCATGGTACAGTAGTGCAAGATTGTATTAGATGACAGTGCAGTACAATTTCCAGATGTTTGCCTCTCAGGGCAGCTTCCTAAAATGGCTCTGGGAAAGGGTATGGTAGGTTTGACTAAAGTGACGACTGCTCTTTGCCTTTCTGACATTGCACCAACCAAAACAACATGTGCTTTTTTGGCACAGAACTTACAGGGCTTGGCAATTTTGTGTTCTTGTGTTTCTTAGGTAGTTAATCTACAATACAGTGAAGTTCAAGACCGGGTCATGCTCACTGGCCGCCACATGGTTCGAGATGTGAGCTGCAAGAACTGCAATAGCAAACTCGGATGGATCTATGAGTTTGCCACTGAAGACAGCCAGCGCTATAAGGAAGGCCGTGTGATCCTGGAACGTGCTCTAGTACGAGAGAGTGAGGGCTTCGAGGAGCATGTACCATCAGATAACTCTTGAAGAAAAAGAGATAACTCCATCTTTTCCCAGGTCTCCTTCACTGAAAACAAAAATCTACTTACATACACTGTCACCTTAGCATCAGGGTCGGATTCATGAACTGCGGAACAAGAGGTTGTGAGAATCTAAGATGGAACCTTTCTTTCTTTCTTTTCTTTTTTTTTTTTTTTTTTAATTTCCAATTTTCCATCCAGCAGCAGTGTGTAGAGAGAGTATTATGCAGATGCCGTTAATTTTTTTTTTCCCTGTGTTTACATCTTGAGGCAGAATAGTCTGTCTGCAGCTACCTGATGGGCTATGTGAGGGGAAAAAAAAATCTGGGCTATCGGAGTGAAAAAGTGTGTTTTGTGTAAATTTTGAAAGGAAAATGTGTCAAGAGCATGGTTTTTAAACTTACTTGGGCTTCGTTTAAAACATTCTTTTTTAAACCCAGTTATTTCACTTGACTTGCTAGCTTCAGGGAAGAGGTCCAGATTTGCGACCAGCGCTAAAGGTTCAGTGTTAGATGGCTTGTGCTGGCCGCTGTGCCATGTTCTTGTCAGAGATGAACCGTGGCACCAGAGCCCATCCTTCCTTGTCAGTCTTGACCCATAGACGTCACCATTCCTAGTTATTTGTCACCATATAATCGGTGTTGATTGGAAACTTTTCCTGAAATGGGGCAGAACTGCTTGGTTGTCTTTTCCATGTAACTTAAGCATAGTAATATAAATAAAGTAATAGTTGGATGTTTTTGGTCCTGTGTTGCTTTTAAAAACACCTTTTAAAAGAAAAGTGGAGTATTTGATAAGTAATTTTCATAATAGTGTTTCTTTTCCTCTCTTGAGCTAAATTGACTGTGTATAAGAGATTACTTTGTTTAAATTAAAGCATACTGTTTAAATTCATAGTACCGTGTTTAGAAAAGAGTTGAACAGAATGCCAGTGTGCGTTCATGCAGAAAGCCTCTCATCTGCATCTGTTTTAAACGAAGGGGAAATTGAAGGAGGCTATCTAAAAATAATGCTTTGCAAAGCGTTTTCAGCCTCTCAGTTTTGTGTTGATTTTGACAAGTCTGTAGAACTTAATAGTTTCATCAAAGGGCTAGATCTGTCATTAGCATTATTTTCTCAGATCTTCCCTCCGAAGTTCGGCTATTGAAATTAAAACTGTACTTGGTCCCTTCAGGGATCAAATTTGACTCAGGGTGTTATTTTAGCCCCAAACTTACAACATTATGAAATATTAAAATAAAAATGTTTCTTTCTCCAATCTATTTCTAGATACTCTAGTATTTGTTTCTGATGGAATAAATGGCATTAAAATTGGCTCATTATTTAAATGTATGAATGGATGTTTGAGTGCTCAATCTCTAGGTCTTTGTCTAGAAAGGATGTTTGCCTCAACTAGCAAAATCTTTTTGTCATTGATATTAGAAGTGACTTCTGAGTACAGTTAAGTTTCTCCTCTTTGCCTTTGGCTCTTGGTTAGAGGCACAGGTCTCTGATTAAGTAGGTGTATAATATTGCATTTGAGATAAGTGGACATGAATGAGCTTTCCTTTACCATGGAATAAATCTTCAAGCTTTAAGAAACAGCTTTCATTCCCATTCATTTTCCATACTGGCCTTTGATGATATGCAGATCCCTGGTAGCATGCCTTACCTGCAGCACTATGTGCATTTGCTGTCACAATAAAGTATATTTTGTCTTGCATTGGTGCAATACTACTTATTTTCCACTGACCCTGGTCTAGTAATCATCTTGTCTTAGTTTTTTTTTTCTTTTATTTATTTATGATAGTCACAGAGAGAGAGAGAGAGAGAGAGAGAGAGAGAGAGGCAGAGACACAGGCAGAGGAAGAAGCAGGCTCCATGCACCGGGAGCCCAACGTGGGATTCAATCCTGGGTCTCCAGGATCACGCCCTGGGCCAAAGGCAGGCGCCAAACCGCTACACCACCCAGGGATCCCTTGTCTTAGTTTTAACGTAAACACAGGTCATATCTTTGAGTAGCTATGGCTTTCTTCACTTAGCACTGATGAGGTGACATTCTGGCTTAGTTAACTTGACCAGATCTACACCAGGAGATAACTGAATTCACCAGTAGAAACTTCTTTGTGATGATTTTGCCTCAGACACTGACAAATGACAGTTTAGTATATATGAAAAAAGAATGTCCTATCACTAGGTTAACTTAGGTAACTGGCAGGTACCACAACGAACAACGAGGTCCTCTATCCCTGCCTTTTAAAAACTGGTATTTGCAAAACTGAAAAAAAAGCAACATGGACGGATTGGATTGTTTGCAGAAAAGCGAACACACTGTTCACTGGAGATGGGAACCCATTAACGGCAATGATTTTGCTTTGGGATGAGGAGGTTGACCAGACATAGGGGAGAGCATACTACATAATAAGTTACTGGGGTGGGTGGGTGGTGTACAAGTTAAGCTTTAATCTCTGAAGACTTCAGAACCCTTCCTCTTAATTTTAGGTGCAGTGGCCATATTTGTTTTGATTTTAAACAACAGGAGTGCTTTAATTTAAAGAGAGAACCCTTAAAGTGAGTATCATTGGGATTAAGGACTTGTTAGTAATTACTGCAATGATTTAAGTTACCCTAGTGAGTGGCTACTTTTGGATTGGAGGTGAAAAATAGTACCATATCTGTTCTGTAAATTTATTCATAAAAGTCCTGTGGGATGTTTCAATTACAGGGTGGCCCCAGCTAGGGGCCGAGATCAATCCGTAGGTAGTTTGGATACGACAGTATTGGGCAACTACCAATCATAAAATATTCAGAGACATGTTTGTGATGGTTCATTTCCACACCAGTTATAAAAATATCTCACAGTTTAAATAGACATCTACTATTGCATCCCTGTTCTTAACACCAGCTTCCCACCAAGAGCCATAGAAAAGCTTCGAGGGAAGGTGTGAATTAGGAGTAGAGCAAGATTAAACTGCAAAACTCCTGTTAGGCTGGCACTTTGCACTGATATGAAAATTCCAGAAATAAAGCATAACTAAAAGGAAAAATCAGGATGCATACCCATCTAAAATTGAGTCTGAATTGTATGGTTTATTTTAGAATAATGGAACTTACCAAATTGAAACTTACATATAATGGCATAAAATCATGTTCCAAAGCACCACTAAGGGTTTTGTCATCCTGGACAACATTCTACATATGTAGGCTTTTAACCTCTGTAATCTGACCATCTGGGAGCCTTGTGACAGTGAATTATGCCTCTCCCAATCCTGGATTGGTCTTTGAGGTGGAGAGGAGAGATCCAGATTTCTTACCCAACTACAAAACTAACTTTGCCCAAATACATGACAGTCACTGTTCAAAGGGTTATTCAAGCTCAAAGTACGGTAGTCTCCCCTTTCCCACAGTCTCCCTTTCTGAGGTTTCAGACACCTGCGGTCAACCATGATCAGGAAGCAGGTAATCCTGCTGATGTACTGTCAGAAGGTCAGTAGTAGCCTGACCTAAATCACGATGCCTATGTCATCCACCTTGCTTCTCGTCTCAACTTATCATCTCAAGCAGCACAAGAAGAGGGAAGGGTGAGTACGGTACAATATGCTTTGAGAGAAACCACATTCATGTAACTTTTATTATATTGTTAAAATTGTTCTGTTTTGTTGCTGATGTCTGTGCCTAATTTATAAACTTTATATATATAGGAAAAAACATGTATAGGGTTTGGTACTATCTGCAATTCCAAGCACTGCCTGGGCCCTGGGATGTATTTCCCTGCGGGTAGGGGGGAGCTACCATGATGTATGGTTATGGTATGTTAACACCTGATACAAACAGGTGTTTCTCAAGAAGAGGCCAAAAGACTTAGAAGCATGAACAAGAAAAAGAGATCATTAATAGGATTTCCAACTGCTTAGAAATAGTGACCCTTTAAAATGAGTAAGTACAGTTAAACTTTTTATTTTTTTTAAGATTTTATTTGACAGCACAAGGAGGGGGAATAGCAGGCAGAGGGACAGGGAGAAGCAGGCTCCCTGCTAAGCAGGGAGCCCCATAGGGGGCTCGATCCTAGGACCCTGGGATCATCACCTGAGCCGAAGGCAGATGCTTAACCGACTGAGCCACCCAAGCACCCAAAGTTTTTTTCAGATAAACTTTAAAGGAGAGGAAGTCTCTGGGAAAGTTTCTAGAAAGATCACTAGACTTTAAAGACCTGTCTTCAATGCCAAGTGTGACTTACTGTGTGACTTTGGGAAGTGTGTGACTGAATCTCTTAACCTTCGTTTTCTCAAGTATGAATTATAAAAACAAGTCCTACCTTAAATTATTTTGTTAAAACAGTGAATTACATGGCTTAAAAACTTAAGTATATTATGTAAATGTATGGAGCAACTACGCTTTTTTCCAGTAAACCTTCACAATCCTTAACAATTTAATTTTACTCTAATGAATGACCAGAATGCTCTCAAAGTTTTTAAAATCCTCCCTGGGCTTGATATGCCTTTATAACAAATTAGGGTAGGAAATCTGTTTATCAAATGTTACCATCTTGACCTATTGCCATAAGGAACCTTTCATAATCTGCTACAAAAGACGTTTTACTTTGCTTTCAAAAATTATCAAAGCTCCTATTTTTCTCCTACCACGGAACAAAAGGAAGAAAAAGGTAAAAGGTTCATTGAATACAATCTCAATGATAAAGTAAATTTTAAAAAGCCTCCATTTCCCCCCAGCCAGACCCGGTAACTTGAAGAGAATCCTGTAAGAATTTTCACTAACAGGTATTGACTAGTTCTTTTCCAAAACTAATTTTCTTTCTCCTGTGTTTGTTTTAGCTTATTTCACACTAGTGCTATAATGGGATTAGTCCAATTTTTAAAGAGTCCTAAGTTTATGAGAAAAATGGTTTTATATACCAAATCATCTCATTTTAATCCTCTTCTAGCTTTACAAGTTATCTCTTGTCCCTGGATTTAAAGCAAAGTGCAAAACCCAATTCCATCTGATTAAAAAAACATACCCAGAGCAAAGCCCAGCTTTGAAAAAGGAGGTATTTATGTTCCTGAGGATTGGCCAGAGATTTTCATGGACTGATGCTGTTGAGAAACCTCATCAGGTGTGCCCCTGGGTCGGGGGGTGGGGGGGTTGACTTCAGCTGTTTCCAGTATTTCACTTCCACCAACTGCTGAGGTTCCATGGAGTGAGCTGTCAGCACCTGGCTAGGTTGTGTGCCCCCCACTGCCCCTCAGCACTACCTTCTCAGCTAACAGACTCTACCTGTAGCCATCCTAGAAAACAACAGGAGTGTTTTCTCCCTTAGCTAAGCCATCTCCCTTCCTCCAGGTTCTAAACCAATTGGAAGGTGCTCAGAGGCATTTCTAAAACCTGCCAAAATGCCAAAAGGATTCTGAAGCTTTTCAGTACTTTTCCTGAGTAAATTGTAAGTCCTGTTTTAAAGTAGGTTCCTTAGAAAACAAGTCTCGGGACTCCTGGGTGGCTCAGTGGTTGATCTGCCTTTGGGTCAGGGTGTGATCCTGGGATCCCGGGTTCGAGCTTCTCCCTCTGCCTCTCTCTGCATCTCTCATGAATAAACAAAATCTAGAAAGAAAGAGAAAAAAGAAGAGAAAGAAAAGTCTTAAGGATTGAGAGGAGGGCAGTATTTTCAAGGACTTGACCAATAAGGAGTAAAACATCTGAGCAGCCCTGCCAAAGTTTACACTGAAGAAAAAAAGTTTTTAATATAGCATCAGGTGAAACTCCTGCTACCAGTAAAGCACCAGTAGATGGCACGAGCACGCAAGAAGTTGTTAACTGTCATTCGGACCTGTCTTTTGGAAAGAACACCTGGGGTGTCTCTTACAGTGGGCTCACCTGAATGAGAGAGGATTTTACTCCAACAGGAGAGTTGTGGGGGCCAAATGAAATCAGATATGAGAATATGCTTGGAAATGACAAAGATTATATAGTATTGTTTCCAGTGTTTGTGATAAGTGATTTTTCTTCTGTGTTTTAGAATCTAAAAGCTTTATCTTCTACAGCTTTAAGCAATAGTTTTTCAGCAACTTTTTAAATACTAGCTTTTATTTTGAAAATGATAACCCAAGTCCTAGAAAGCTGAACACCACAGTGTGACTTGGCAGCTAGTTAACCTCCTGAAGTCTCGTTTCCTCAACTTTATAGGGAAAATAATTTATGGAGAATGTGTGTGAAAATTCTTTATAAGCCATACGGTATTCTAAAAATAAAATACATTCCTATAAATTGAGTTAGATTCAGTGAGTTACTTTGCATAGCCTCCAGTTGCTAGAAAGTGTGCGTTCATTTCTCCACTCAGCAATGTTTGAGTGCCTATCCCCTGTAAGACATTATGCTAACAGTCAGCAACACCTGGCCTCCACTCCCCAGCAGCCAGACGAAGGATCTATGCAAAGCCTGATAAAAATGCTGCTTTATCAATACTAAATATATCCCTGCTGTGAAATGAAAGGTGTCTGACACAAGAGGCGCAAAAGCTCATGAAGTGCCTTCATTCTTCCAGCAATTGATTCATATATATATATATAAGTTTGAACAGAGGGAACCTTCCAGATTAAATGAAAATAACAGAAATCATCTCTGTAAGTGCAGTGGATTCTGAAATTGGATTAAACTTCCCTTCTAAAACAAGCTTCATCTGTCTCCCAGAAGCAAATATAAATCAGCATTTCCAGCGTATGTGGCAATACG